ATGCATTAAATCACCTGAAGAGCTTTCTGAATATTTTAAAAGTATTATTTGAAAAAATACCTGTGCCCTGACTCCAATCCTAGGTCCATTCGGAGAGTCTCAGAGAGCAGGGCTGGGCATGGGTAATTTTACATCTTCAAGTACTTTAAATTGCAACCAGGATTTATACTCATTTTTCACATTCTCCTCAGTGTAATAGTCCAAGCTCAGGCCCTCGTCAGGTCTCCCCGGGTCATTTCAGTCCCCTCTAATTTCCTTTCAAGTCCACAGTCTCTCTTCAAGACTTTCAATCACATTTTTGCTAAAATCTGGAAAACACAACTGTGTACTGCCCTGCTCACATAACTTCTAGGAGAAAGTTCAGTCACTTTATATAACCGATAAGACCTTCAAGAAAAATGTTTGACACAGTGCATACCATTTAGTAATTTGAAATGCAATGAAGTTAAGATTTGAAAAAAAATCAAAACAAATATGAAATACTTAAGCCTTCTGTGTACCCACTTTTCATTGGTTATACAGTGCCCTGCACATATAGGGCATTGAAAAAATATCTACTGAACTCATTTTAAAGGCCTTTTTTAAAAAACTGATATACAGTCAGTTACATTGTGTCAGTTTCTGGTGTGCAGCACAATGTCCCACTTATGCATATACATACATATGTTCGTTTTCATATTCTTTTTCATTAAGTTATTTCAAGATATTGAACAAAGTTCCCTGTGCTATACAGAAGAAATTTATCTATTTTTATATATAGTGGCTAACATTTGTAAATCTCAATCTCTCAAATTTATCCCTTCCCACTCACTTTCCCCAATAACCATAAGCTTGTTTACTATATCTTCAAGTCTGTTTCTGTTTTGTAGATGAGTTCATAGTATCCTTTTTTCTTTTTTAAGATTCCATATGTCAGCGATATCATATGGTATCTTTCTTTCTCTTTCTAGCTTACTTAGAATGATGATCTCTAGGTCTATCCATGTTGCTGCAAATGTAATTTTATTCTTTTTTATGGCTGAGTAGTATTCCATTGTATAAATATACCACAACTTCTTTATCCAGTTACCTGTTGATGGACATTTGGGTTGTTTCCATGTCTTGACTATTGTATACAGTGCTGTTATGAACATTGGGGTGCATGTATCTTTTTGAATTAAAGTTCCCTCTGGATATATACCCAGAAGTGGGATTTTTGGATCATATGGTAAGTCTATTTTTAGGTTTTTATTTTAAATTTTGTTTTACTGAATTATAGTCAGTTTACAATGTTCTGTCAATTTTCAGTGTAGAGCAAAATTTTTCAGTCATACATAAACATACATATATTCATTGTCACATTCTTTTTCACGACAAGATACCACAAGATCTTGTATATATTTCCCTGTGCTATACAGTATAAACTTGTTTATCTATTCTATATATACCTGTCACTATCCACAATTTTCAAATTCCCAGTCTGTCCCTTCCCACCCCCCTCCCTCTAGCAACCACAAGTTTGTATTCTATGTCTATGAATCTGTTTGTTTTATATTTAAGTTCATTTGTTGTCATTCTTTTTTTTTTTTAGATTCCACATATGAGTGATAGCATATGGTATTTTTCTTTCTTTATGGCTTACTTCACTTAGGATGACATTCTCCAGGGACATCCATGATGCTGCAAATGGCATTATGTTGTCATCTTTATTGCTGAATAGTATTCCATTATATAAATATACCAGCTTTTCTTTATCCAGTCATCTGTTGATGGGCATTTAGGCTGTTTCCATGTCTTGGCTATTGTAAACAGTGCTGCTATGAACATTGGGGTGCAGGTGTATTTTTGAAGTAGGATTCCTTCTGGGTATATGCCCAGGAGTGGGATTCCTGGGTCATATGGTAAGTCTATTCCTGGTCTTTTGAGGACTCTCCATGCTGTTTTCCTGCATTCCTGCATTCCTACCAGCAGTGTAGGAGGATTCCCTTTTCTCCACAGCCTCTCCAGCATTTGTCATTTGTGGACTTTTGAATGATGGCCATTCTGACTGGTGTGAAGTGCTACCTCATTGGAGTTTTGATTTGCATTTCTCTGATAATTAGTGATATTGAGCATTTTTTCATGTGCCTGTTGGCCATTTGTATGTCTTCACTGGAGAATTGCTTGTTTAGGTCCTCTGCCCATTTTTGGATTGGGTTGTTTGTGTTTTGTCAAGGTGTATGAGCTATTTATATATTCTGGAAATTAAGCCTTTGTCTGTTGCATCATTTGTAAATATCTCCCATTCCTAGGTTGTCATTTTGTTTTGCTTATGGTTTCTTTTCCTATGCAAAATCTTATGAGTTAATTCGGTCCTATTTATTTTGCTCTTGTTTCTACTGTCTGGGTAGACTGCCCTAGGAAGGCATTCCTAAGATGTATGACAGATGTTTTGCCTGTGTTTTCTTCTAGGAGATTTATCATGTCTTGTCTTATATTTAAGTCTTAAGCCATTTTGAGTTTATTTTTGTGTATGGAGTGAGGGAGTGTTCTAACTTCATTGATTTACATGCTGCTATCCAGTTTTCCCAACACCACTTGCTGAAGAGAGTCTTTTCTCCATTGTATATTCTTGTAAAGGCCATTTTTAAGGCTCAACTTCAGCTAAAATTCAATCTAGCCAAATATGTTTGTGCCTGGTAGGAATTCAGTGAGTCACTTGGGTGCCAGATAATTGAAATGTCTACATTACTTTCGTCTCACACAGCGCAAGTGAAAGCAATGAAGAAATCTGCTACCTGTATTATTATTTTTTAAAGCATTCTATATACAAAACAAAAGATAAGAAAGGGAAAGATAAAGCAGGGGAAGGGAGGGTGAGAAAGGAGAGGAAAGCAGATAGACAGATAGGCAGATAGACAAACTCTTACCTCGATAATAGTAACTTCTACTCTGTGTTCTCTGTGTGGGTGCAGGGAACAGGAGATGCCTGGTGTATGTCTCCCCAACTTTTCAGCTTCTCTAAGCAGAGTGTCTTCAATCACTCTAATTCTTTCCACTTAAGCGGGTCAAAAGCAGAAAGGGCTGGATGATGAAAAAATACTATTTGATATCTTCACATATATTGCTCTTTCAGATGGATGTATGACCGTGAATTGAGAAAATGATCAAAACTTTTAAGAGATCTCATCCCATTTAATCACTGTACGTTTAGCCATTGTGTATTATCAAAAGTCACAACCCACTTGTACAGCACCATGTAGCAGCGCAGGCCTTACTGAGGAAACGCAAGAAGGACCCAAGTCTTTTTAAAATTCAACCATAGGTGCAGATTCTCGCACCTCTTCATACCCATTAATGCTAATTCCAAAGTTGAAATCTTATATGGTCCTGTCTGATGTGAAAATTGGAAGTTTCCATTATGTTAAGGCAACAAGAATGTATAAAAATAAAATAAAGCTATAGGATGTTATTCCATAAATAGAGAACTTCAAAATCACCACAAATCACAGTCACTTGGCCCATATTCTCATACTATATTCTGTGTTATGACATACTAGGGTAGGTGTTTACCAAATTAATTAAACATAAGATCACACATACACAAATTCACACAAAGTGCATGTGAAACTAGTGAAATCTGAATAAGGTCTGTATTTGAGTGAACAGTATTGTACCAATGTCAATCTCTTGGTTTTGTAAGATGTTATCACTGGGGAATGAATGATGAGGTCAGGGTACACAGAAGTCCTCTAAGCTATTTTCATAACTTTATGTAAAACTTTCACTATTTAAAAATTAAAGCTGTTTCAAATAATTTTTAAAGGCTAAATCATAGCCATATTTGATATTTTCATTAACATTTAAATGTATGGTTCACCCTTGAACAACTCTGGGGTCAGGGGCACTGACCTGCCTCCGTGCAGTCAAAAATCTGCCTTTAACTTAGACTCCATCCTTGCCATATTCAGGTCCTCCATATCCCTGGTTCTACACCTGGGGATTCAGCCAACCTCAGATTGTGTAGTAGTGTTATTTACTGTTGAAGAAAATATGTGTATAAGTGGACCCACGCCATTCAAACCTGTTGTTCAAGAGCCAACTTTATAATGAATTTCAAAGGAAACAATTATCTTTAACAATTTTTATAATAAAATGAGTTTTGTATACTGCTAGCAAAATTTTGCCAATTGTGTTCATAGTCAAGATGTAGGCAAGTGGCAAAAGTGTAAATATATCTATTACAATTGTTTCCTAGCAAAGAAGCAAGTCAAATATTGGAACCTTGTGTAGATGGCAAGAATTGCCATGGATTTTTATTAAAAGAAGATTGAAGAATTTGTCATAGCTTCTTAGCTTCTCCAAAAACTCAGAGGTTTTCCTGTGTAGTAACTAAAGTGCTCTTAAAATAAAACACTGGAAAACAGGTTTTCTGATTGTAACTCATGAAAAAGAGTCCATTTTATATTCCAATTTTATTCACCTTTTCTGAATCACAACATTAATCTACTGGGGATAATCTAGTTAGTATATTTGAAATTCCATTTATTTTTTCCTATTGATATGCATGTATTACACTTGAATATAATACAGAGTTTCCAGTGTTGTTTTAAAGGACATAGTTTAAAAAATGAGAGGCATGATCTATAATTTCAAACTAACCTAGGACAAATTCATAATTTCCAAAATAACATAGGTTTTCACTTTGTTCCAAAGAAACTAACGAGAATATCACCGATGCAGAAACTCCAGCACAACTGTTCCTCCTTTCTTCCGGAGTTCATATCATCTTGAACTATTGCGAAAACCACTGAGCCATCTGACTTTATGCATAATTAAAATGGAAGGAAAAAGTCATTTCATTCCATGGAACTGTGGGGCAGTATACTTTCACTCACAGTCAAAAGCATACTTTCCAAAAATTTTTAAGCAAATTTTACACTTTTATTCATTCTGCCAACAAAAGATTCTGAGTAATGTATTAGTCTTTCAAAGTTGTTACCAACTTCCCCCGGAGAGCTTTCGTCTGTATGTCAGCCTCCATCATGGAAATCGGCATATACCTAATTGGCCATGTCAGTGAGTTTTAAAAATATCAAAGATGTCCACACTGTCTTTAACATAATGGAACTTCTAATAGGACAGTTTCTGAAGTATCTGCCTATCAGCCTAAAATGAGTAAAATACAGACGCCTCTCCCTTTAAATTCCTTCAAACTATACATTTGCACAATATTATTACAGAATGGCTATGCAATTTCCATTCTTCTCTCCTAGCACATCACAAAATGAAACAAAATAACAGTAGTATAAAATTATACATTCTGTGAATAACTTAGAAAAAAAGTACATACATGTTTAAGGCCTTTAAATATTTATAAGAGTCTCCTATAGAACTGAAAACCACAAATGTTAAAAGGACTACAAAAACGTGGACAAAAACTGACCAAAGAAAGTGTTTGAATGGGGCAACTTTAAGCAAATATTTATAAATTTGAGACCAAGGAAAAGAACAATTTATTCTAGGAACAGACTGAACAAACAAATATATAGGCATTCAAACAGTCATTGGGATCAAGCAAGAGGCAGTCTTTTTAAAATGAGATAGAAAGGACAGTTTAAAAAAATACTGGAAGAAATCTAAAAGAGTAACTTTCAAGCTACGAAATCATAACCCACATGCATCCTTGGCAATTTGTTCAAACTGAAGGTTGCCTAAATTCCTGACTGCTCACTGCTGATTTCTGTGAAGGGGAAAAGTAAAGAGAAAAATGAAAGAAAAAGCCCACTTTAAAAAAAAAGCAAACCTGAAAGGGAGAGTACTCTAGAGGTACCAAAGAGTCGTATATGATGGAAATGGTAATTCAGTTCTAACTACTACCTACGTAGCTGGCGGAGAGCTGCAGCAGCGTGTCAGCCTTGGGGAAACAGTCAGCTTGTCTACACATTCTTATATGATGGATGTAGTCAGATAACTATTACTTACCAACAGTAATTATTATCAATGTATATATATTTCCATTCCTTTAACAAAAGCAACTTTAAGATGTTAAAACATATAGGCTTTCAGAGCTCCGAGATAAAGATACAAATCAAACCGTCCCAGTCTACGCCATGCCAGAGGAGAAGTGCGCAAAGGAGATGTCACTGAGCCACGTGCAGTCCGCCAGCCAGTGAGCACAGGACCCAGCGGCAGGTCCGTGGCCGAAGGCCAGTGCACTTGGGAGACTTTCAGAAACAAGGAAAGCAGTCACATTTGGAGCCAAGAGCCCAAAAGGTAAGCATCTCTGACACTATCCGCAAACACCAACTCTTCACCAACTCTCCACAGAGCAACTTCAAATTCTTTTAGCAAATCCAACTATACAAATTGAACACAGTTCAAATCTGAGGAGATCTCCATGATAGAGAAGTTCGTGTCTGACTTTAAAAAAGTCTGTTTCCAAGAAGCAGTTGATTATGAGCCATGAAATCCCCTGGAAACGATAGACTCCGGAGTGCCTCTTCTGAGCGGTATAAAAATCCTTCTCACCTCAGGAGTTACGTTTCTATGTATATGTTCGATGTAATCCGCCTTGAGGATCATTTGATTTTATTCTTGGTTAATGGGTTACCTACAAAAGAAGAAGAACATATAATCGTAACAGCTATCAGCTTAAAACTCTTACACAAGTGAGTATTAATAGGTAGCTTAAAATGCGGGTTATTTCCTACAGCAAATAAACTACTGAATTCTAGACGACTACCATATTCAGGTATTTTTAGCTTATTAAAATATACTATTTTCTCTGTCATTTTGTAATATAAAGGTATTACACATTACATAAAAATATCATATAATTAAAATATGTAATGAAAGTATTACATAATTTAAAATATTATGTCTCTAAGAAGAGCCACTTGCACAATTACCCAAATGACTCCAACTGTGACCAGGAAGATCTTAACTGGTGATGCTGTTACTTTCAAAACCACAGAATGATTCTGGAATCCCTGTTCTTCGCACAGGCCTGGTGGGCAAAACCCAGAGATCATACACATCATGCAGGAGTCAGTGAAGAAAGACCTTGGTTGCAGGAATACAGTCAGACCACAGCTTCAAGAAAGCCCTGGGGAATTAGCTCCACAAAATCCATTCCTGAAGTAATTTAAAAATTGAGTGTTTGACTCAATTACATTTCAGAAAATTAACTATTCATAAGGACAAACAATATTTGGGAGAAAAACAAGGATCATACAATGTTTTACCAAATTTTAAAGGTGCCCAAAGTTCTCATGAAATTGATTAGAGCAGTATTATTACTGCTATTATAAATTTTATGGAGGCAGATTCACACTGGATTTTCATACCTACTCAAGTCCAAAGAATGTTTATATACAGGAGAGAAATAATGGCTAGGTAGAATACCTGACACATATATATAAATGTGTATCTTTATGCATGTGGAAGAAAGATGGTACAGAAAAAGACAGAGGTTTCTGCTGTGTCAATGAATTTCTGGTTATACCCTTGATATCACGGTACTCAGAGTTCCCTAACAGTTCTTTTCCAGCAATGATTATAACAAAACGTGCATTTTAAAAAATTATTGTGGATGCTTTGGTTTTATTTCATTAAGTGACAGAGTTACTTTTCCTCTCATGAAACACTTGCCCAGAGACTTTTTTGTTTCATTTTTTGGCCCTTGTTTGATCAACTATGGAAAAGAGAAACCCTACAGAAAACAATGAAGCCAGCTCCAGCCTGTGCTCGGCCATGGCTCGTCTCCGGCTCCACTGCAAAAGGAAGGTGCAAAACTCAGTGTTTGTTCTGCGCGGAGGCAGCCATCCTGCTCGGGTGTCTTCGGTCAGTCGGTGCTCGGTCCCACGGAAGGAGCCTCTGCCTGCACACTTCCCCGCCCAGAGAAACGACGGAAGGAATGGAACTGCAGATGGGAGGACACAAACACACGAAGGGCCTGCTGACCTCTAGAATTTCGGGAGCGGGGGATAGCTTAGGGCAGCAATACTGTGATCAGTTTGTCGGACGTTCAGTGGTCATTTTACACAAGTTGTGTGAAGGGCTCCCAGCCTGGGAGTCGGGGCAAGAAGACCGTGGGGAGGAAGTACGAGTATTTCTACAGACATTCTGTCACAGGTTGCTAATGAAGATACCTGACCGCTGTGACAACTACGGGAGTGTTATTTTGATGATCAACTTTTCTTGACAAACATGGATTTAACACAGTCTTTGATTTCCACTGGCTGAGAAAATTCACTGCCTTTTCTAAAAAATTCTCTTTTGCAGGAATAATTATCAAACATAGTACGGGAACTAGTGCTTGAAATGACAGGAAAAAAAGAAGAGAAGAAATGGTTGAGCCTCAGGGAGGATTCAGCACAGGCAACTGGAGGGGCGTGCTGCAGGGTCTCCATGACGGCGAGGGACATGCCCTCTTGCGCCATCGCAAGCCCGGGTTCTAAGTTCTCTGCTGGTGAGTGCAGCGGGCGCATCCTTACATCTTCATTCCAGGGTAAGTAGTTAATCCTGCTGGTTTATATAAAGCTGAGGAGTGATTCTCTCCAACTATTTATATTTAAAGCTTTAGCTTCACATCATTTTATAAAAAGACATCAAATTAACAGGCTAATACCAAAGGCTGATGTACCTGGAATACATTTTCTTTGACCTCAGAGAAAACATGTAAGCATACATATAAACACACATAATTATCCAATCCATATCCTCAAGAATATCGTAAATGTACACTTTTATTGTGCTGTGTTTTTATCCGCTAAAATAACTGCTAGAAAACCAAAATTTAAACATGACTAAAAGACGTGATTGTCTAAATGAGCATGGATTGAAACATAACTTTTCCTTATTTTATACAATATTTCCTAGTTTCCTAGTTAATCCCAAAAATATCCACATTTTATGAGATGAAGAGTAACGGACAATTTTATTTTTGATTTGATTTTGATCAGAGGACCACCGTGGTTCGGCATACAGGGTTCTGGATTTAGGTCAGTGTGGCAGTAATCCTGCTGACACTGGCTGTGTCATGCAACCTTGGGGCTCCTCGGCTTTCCCATATATAAAATGGGTACAATCCTGTTAGCCTCACAGTCTTGCTGTGAGGATCAAATATTATATTCACGAAAGCCCGGCCTTGCCATCTCTGAAGTACTATAAAAATAAAAGTTTTAGAGTTGCGTTTAGTTTTTGTTTAATGGGTAAATCTTTAACAAGAAAACCACTAAAAGCAGAATGAGGTTCACACTAACATTCAGTCAAGTTAGAGGGCTACATTTAAGGAATTCAAACAAAGGCTAAGTCATATTTTCAGTGCAGTATAAATATGAATGTATGTCTGCTCCCTCCCTGACAACCTCCAGATTTGTACCAAATGAAATAGCAAAGCCAAAGATTTGAGAATATATAGAAGATGATTCTAAATACAGGTACGTTATCACCAATTTTTATCACCTAATATGCAAGATGCAAATAACATTTTGAACTTACTGTCTCACATTTAACACAAAAAAGCCATTTTATGGTTTACGTGCTCATTAAGTCCAAGTGACTCATGTTTAAATTCTGACATGCTAATGAGGGGAAAGCAATTGTCATTTTACCCTTTATAGATGACAGACTGGAACTTCCTGACACCAAAGAGTTGCTTAAATAATATACAATCCAACATTAAAAATTTTTGCTTTCATTTAAAAATGAGTTGTTAATATACCATATTAAGCACTGCCTTATTTTTTGAACTTAAATATTACCCTTTTCTCTCATGCCCTACTGTTTGAACTTGTAAAACTTACGTTCTAAGCAGGCTTTTCAGCAAGTTTTCAGTGACTAAAAGCAGGAGGTGGCAATAAAACCACTCTTACAGGATAGGAAATAGCATGTGCTACCATGAATTCACTGTCTGCTGGGTCAGAGGGTGACAGACATAAAATACTGCATGAGGGAGAGAAATGGTCCTACCGTCATTACAGTTATGCCTTAAGCTTCACACACTATAATCACTATCCCCGTAAATCTGCCGTTCCAAAGGCAGGATTTTACACAGTGGTTCTTTTTTCATGCAAATTGCATTTGTGTGTGCTGCACATTCGCCAATTCAGTAAGTGAAGCTACTCAGCTGCTGAACACACAC